CAACCTTATTCTACTTGGCAGAATTGCTAAATATATTAGAAATTTATGACTGATGACAAGCTTAAATTACTCGATTGTAAAAATTGTTCACTATCTAATATATAAGTACAACTGAGAGGAAATGCTCACTAGTTGCTAACGTGAATGAGCAGATTTAATTATATGAGAAAATAAGGTAGAAAGAAATTAAATCAATAAATACCAAGCCGAGAGCAAGCAATTGAGCAGTGTCATGACATATGGAATGCCCGAGAATTGTTCAGTTGATCTTTTCGCCACGATCCTCTTGAAAGTGACCCTAATTATTAATAATAAATTGCGAAAATTAATTAAATTAACTAATAATTGGAAAAATGAAAAGAAAAAAAATATGTGCTCGGTATATTAATTACTCACGTTGGGGACAAGAACAGAAACAACCCAGTAGCATTTCCTGTTGGAAAAACATATATAAAGATTAAAAGGAACTCCAAAATTAATTACAGAAAGGCAAATGTATCAAAATAATGTGACTATGGAAAAAAAAAGTGCAAAAAAAAGCATACCAAATATTCCAAAGAACACATGCAGAGCATTTCCTTTACTCATATTTGGCGATTTTATTAGCCAAACAAAACAAATATAACTATGCACAAATGAAAATACTAATATTATTTTCAAGAAGATATAGGTGGCACAGTTTCTTGAGCAAGCTGTGCACAAAAGCGGTGCGGTGCAATTTATAGAACAATAAAAAATATATATTTTATTTTATTTCCCTATAATAAAATATATCATGTTACGTCCTTATCCACGACTCTATTCATTTGAAACTTAATTTTCTTCACTTTTCTGCTCTTCAGCACATATGTACAATAATTTTGGTGAAATTTGAACTATAATTGACTAAGTTAACATTTGTGCCTGCAGGATGTGTCAGTTTCTTTCTGACAATTTCTGGTGAAGAAAAAAAAAAAGTAATGTTATCGGAGAATGGTAGACTGATATAATAAATGATACTATAAAATTTGATATAATAATATTTGTCAATCTATTATTTTATGTATCACATTGCTTTTAAAATCAATAATTATTTACATATCATTTTGGTCATCATTTATGTCACCAAATTAGATCAAAGTAGTTTAATCCAATGTAATTGGAGAATATAATGGCCCAGATCGGCCGTATAGTTCCAAACCCAAACTTGGCCCGGCTTATTAGTCATTACCCGCAGCGGGTCCATCAAACCGGGCCCGAGATCTTGGACAAGGCCGACTTGCCGCAACCTTTGTTTATATTTTTTTTATTATTTAAAATCATTAAATATTGTACTTTATTATACTCGTCTCGGGCAAGGCCGACCTGCCCCAACCTTTGTTTATATTTTTGTATTATTTAAAATTAATTAAATATATTATAATTTATATAAAATATTATACTTATATTTGTAAGAAGTATAAAGATACTCAATCGCTATTCACCGCCCCCTTTTACTAGTCACCGCCCCCCCATTTACTCTTTTGCCCTTAACCCTTTTTTAGATTTCATCTCTCTAAACTTTATCTCTCTAAATTTTCCGAACTTCAACGAACGATTCGAACATCAAAAAAAATCCGAAAAAATGTCGAAAAAATTCTACGGCCTCGGCAAAGGATTCTTCTCCAACAAGGTAATTTTTTTTTTTTCCGCCGAAAATAATTTAAAAAAAAAAAATTTTGAAGCTGTCCGGCCGTCGTTTCCGGACGACCGCCGTCTGTCCAGTCATCGGTTGCGGACGGCCGAAAAACCGTCCGGTCGTCGGTTCCGGACATCCGAGAAATTGTCCGGTTCCGGAAGGCCGAAAAACCGTCCGGAACCGCCGGCCGGTGATGAGCCGGCCTGACAGTTTTAAAATTTTTTTATTATGATAATTATAATAATAATAATAATTATAAATAATTCTGATTAAAATAATAATAATAATAATAATAATTATAATAACAAATATAAATTATAATAATAATTATATATTATAATAATAATAAGTTGAATAAATTGTAATTAATTATAAATTGTAAAAACATAAATAATATTAATAATTATAAGTTATAAATGCTTATAGTAATAATATTATAAGAAATAATAATTATAATTTGTAATGATAATTATAATTAAATATAATAATAATAATAAATTAGTATTAATTATAATAATTTAAAAAAAAATATAATAACTATTATAAATCTCAACAATTATAATTATAATAATAATTAATAAAATTTATATATTAAAAAGTGGAACGAAAGATGCGAGGATTGGGAAGCCGCCAATGAATTATAATTTATTTTAATAGTTATTAGAATAGTCATTACATATGGAAAAATTTAATAATTATATTTCTGCATCAGGGTGTTGGCAGACCTGGAGAATCTAATGTCAGGGACGACGACGAGGCGTACAATGACTATTATGATGGTTCTGGCACCCGACACACTAGAAGTCGGGGTGTCAATGCGTCCGTTCGTCGGGACAGACAGACGTTGATCGATGAGGCTCGGAGGGTACAGACTCTTCAGGCTAGGCAGAATTCGAGACCCCCCGCACCAGCACGAGATGGTCCGCAGGGATATCATTTTGAGGGCCAGCCAGATAGTTCGCGACCCCACGGAGTCCTCCCGTACGGCGAGCATGGATTTTATTATCCTGGCCAGGCAGGCAGTTCGATGCCCCCGACACCAGGACCGTACGATTAGTCGGGATATGCTTTTTCCCGCCATGCAAGGAAGTCGATACCTCCTCGCGCACGCGTACCATTACCCTATGGTCAGCAGGGGTATGCTGATGAGTCGTACGGCGAGAGGGAGCAGGGTCCAGAGGAGTATGACTCGGACGACTCCTCAGATGATCAGGACCACGCACAGCCTACGGGTCCTAGCCACCCTCGTCCTTCTGTACAGCCTGTTTGTCCGGTACAGCCGGTTCCACAGCATGTTCGTCCGGTACAGGCTGTTCGTCCTACACAGGCTGCTCCTCAACGACAGGCTGGAGGGCGTTTTGGCCCATCTGCATCCTCATCAGGTAAATAATTTACGTACTTATTGTTGTTTAATATAAATTATTTTCATTTAATCATAACAAATTATCGGTACTGTTAGAAAAGTATTATCGGTCTGCTCCTCAACTACGGTATAATTATTTTGTAATTTAGAGGAACCGTCCGGCCGGCGGTTCCGGACGGCCGCGGTCCGTCCGGCCGGCGGTTCCGGACGGCCGCGGTCCGTCCGGCCATGCTTTCCGGACGGTCTTTGAACCGTCCGGACGCCGGTTCCGGACGGGCTTTAAGCTGTCCGGAACCGGCGGCCGGACACGTATTTTTTCAAAAATTGTCTGATATGTTTAGAAAAAATGAGAAGGGCAAAATTGTCCAAGGGGGGCAGTGAGTAGTAAAAGGGGGGCGGTGAATAGTAACACAAAGAGTTCAAAATATATTAGTACTGATAAATGATAAGCGCGAACTTCTTTTCACTTCCAGACGCATGTCAGTGGATCCTAAACCTGTGTGCCAAACATAAATTAAGCAAACAAAATTTATTACGCCGTATATCAGGACAAAAATCTGATAATTACTTTAGCAACATGGAAAAAGAGAGAACAGTAACATAACTTCTTCTTCACTATATTTTGTTGGCTGCAAATTCGTTTAAACGAAAAACTATATTGAAGATAATAGTCTCACAAAGTGCAGCATATTCTTGAATCTTCATAAAATCATGATTGATAGTCTTATCTCTTGTCACATGGAGTATAAAACGGAAAATATATTAATGATAAATTGACATCTTCTCCATCATTTCATTTTCAAAATAAAACCTTTACTTAGTTGATTCCCTAAGAAAAGAATAAAAAAAAACTACTATATCTAATCACCCCCTAAAAATTTTAGAATATCGGCACAATTAATTCAAAAGTTTTTAATCAGAATGTTATAACTTCAACACAAAAGTTCTTGTTTGAAACAGTCTAACCGTTAGACAAGTCAATCTATCATATCATATGAATAAAAAATACATACTATCAAGTCATAGTTCTATTTATATTGTTTTTTGAAAATATGCTATTTTTTAATGAAAGTATGCATAATTATATAAACAGTATCGGCCTAAGACCTACCACAAGACCTAAACGTAGCTTCAAACTTAAACCAAATTTTTGGAGGGGCATGGTTAATTTAAGTGTTTATGCAATAATTATAATACATTTATCACATTTACATACATAATTAGCTTACTTTATTGAATTTGATCGTGTACACCATACTTAAGATCGACATATTGAAGGCCATAACACAAAATGGGAAAATAATAACGGTCACCTAAAGTCAAGTATACCGCGATAAAGCTGAAAAATTCGACCTCACCAGTAAAGACACTACTTTTATTGAGTTTTTTTATCATTGAATCACCCGAACTCATATAGTAGGGTCGAATATGTGACCTATAATCTCCTTCATCTTTCTCTATTTGTTTTGTTCGATAAAAAAGGCATGCAAATACAAAATGGTAAAAACTGAAAACCAAGAAAGTGAAAAGTATATACAGTCAAAGATGAAAATTACCAAAATCTCCAAAAGTCTAAGGCAAAGCCATTGGTGGTTTCCATTTTCCGAACTCTACTAAATCTCGGTTCACAATCGACCCGTTGTGCAGCCAAAATGTCTCGGCCGATTGATGGAATAGCCTCACCTTCTTTTGAAGCTCCCATAAAATTCCTTCGAAAGCCGAGCAAGATTCAGATTCGGGAGCATAAACCCATAAGCACCTCACTCGCCTGCCCCTAGCAATCATCTCCTCTATGGCTTTATCTGTTCGAAAGCACCAATTTAGTTAATCCTCCGAAATTTCAGATAACCGTGTTTTTGTTTTGAATTTTTTAAGTAAGTATTATTTATTATATGTAGTTATGGAGGAGTAATACTGTAATAGATGATGGCAACCTGGAATTGATCCTAAGTAATCCAAAAGCTCGGTTCCTATTCGATTTGACGGCCACTTAATCGAGATTTGGCTGTAATCGACCACATTTTGGAAAGGTAATTCCACTTGATCTGATAAAATTACCGGAACACACTCCTGCTCGGCACAAAACAAAAGCTCGACTGAGTCTCGAGGGAGAGAGATTGTATCTGGGTTTTGAAAGCAAACGAAGCTGAAGAAAAACATATAATACCACAAAAAATGACTCGTAAAATCGAAGAGTCCACGATGACTCGCCACGTGGCGCCAAGCAGAACTTTGCATTGCGGAGATGCTGAAAATACTCTGTCCTCCCCAGTTTATCGGGCCCACTGAATTTCAACTCTGGAGATTCCAACTGTTCACAGAATCAATATGCATGTATATGTATACTCGGGAGTGTTTTAATTTATTTATTTAATTTTTTTTTTTACATGGGTTGCAGCAGGAAAATGAATTTCATTTTTTTAAATACAAGTTAAGCTATAATAAGTGAGAAGAATCCAGAAAATCTTTCTCACAAAGAGTTATTGAAACAGATTATAACTGAAAAAAGTACCTTATCAGGATATTGCTTTGCAAGATCCATCAGTTTCAAACGACCGGCTTTTCCTTGTGCCCGGCCTAAATAATTAGCCAAATATTTCCTCCTTGATAAAGGTAGAGGGTCAACTAGCCGAGACTTGTGTGATGATGTCATTCCATCGTCAACATTACCAGGTATGATTATATCTTTCCATGTATTGAAGGCACTGGTGTCTCGTTTATCCGTGCGGTCTCCCTAAATGCAAAACAATAAAAAAAAAAACTTTTAGTCCGGTAAATGAAGTTGTATTTAAAGCTCGTGAAGAAGTTAGTTGATGGGCTAGACGGCATATCATGACACTGTACAAGAAAATACTGAAACTAGAAAGTAAACTAAGCGAAAATTAGATGGCAGAAGATTATCATTTCATTTCAAATGCATTAGTAAATGATGTTTATCTCCAGACATCAACTTTCGAGGATATACTCTACTTTCTTATAGCCTGGAAAGTGGGGAAAAATAACTGAAAAAACTGCCATCAGCATCGATTTTGGTCCTCATATCCACCATTTTACAAAAGTAATTTTATGATATTTAGGTTGTGTTTCTTTATAAATTTATCTAACGCATACTCAATTCATACTCAAATCTAACTCAACTTTAACCCAACTCCACTATCTTTAATATAATTAAATAATACCAAACAATAATTCTGATACATCACATCAATTTTAATTCACTAATCATCCACTCGCATAATTTTAACTAACCATCACTTCACATCATCTCTCTCTATACATAAATACATAAATACTGGTTTATAAGTTATAACAGGTAAAAAAGAAGTACACTGTGCACCTTGACAAAGTACGTACCTCTGGGGTCAAAATTATAGAACGATTTATATACGTCGACCAAGACTTGAACAAATGAGCTCCAGCACCACTGCAATGGAGAAAAACGTCAGAAATAATATAGTGTACTCTCATTTTCTCATCCTTTAGATTTTTTTTATTTTTTTTTCACTTTTTACCCTTGTTTTAGGATAAGGAAACCATTCGAAATGGTTTCAATGACCAATGAGATGCTCATAAAATTAACGAATAGCATAGCTACTTCAGAAAACTGTGTATGCAATTACAAAGGAGAAAAAACAATCGAGAGTTAATTTAGCCTTAAGCATGATGGTAACATTTGGGTTCTGCTGATCAAACATTTCATCTCTTTCCAAAATTCCTAATTGTAAATGAGATACAGGAATTAAACAATTTCATGAGTGTTAATCTTCATTTACGCACCATAGCAAACAACCAAAACAACATACCTTGGGAAAACAAAAATATGGTTGCGACCACCCGATAACCTGAAATATGGCATTTGACTTAAAACCTGAAAACAAATAGTGCTAATTCAAATAACAATTCCATCAGAATAATGTTTCCAAAATTCCCTGTGTTTGCGTAAAGAACTGCATTACCTTTACATAGGTTTGGTTGATTTCTTTATCATTCAATCCACCCTTCATACGAACACATTTAACATAAGATGGTACGAAGAACAGATCAGCTTCCTCTTTCTTTCTGGTCCGATATGTTGATTGTAAAAGTAACCTATGTATTTTAACCTACACAAAATTAAATAATGTGAATAAAAAGTGGGACTTGTTAAAAAAAAAAAAAATTAAAAAAAAATTAACTCTTTCATGCCTTATTAGGTGTTACCATCCTTACGATACAAATCCCTATTGAACTACTCATTTCTCTTGAAAGTTGAAACTATGATTCAGCATCGATACAAGTTTCTAAGAGAAGTAAAGAACTGTACATGTTTAAATAATCAAAATGTAAAGTTCAAGGGGCTAAAGAATGAGCTATTGTATCCATCAAAGAAATGAATATAGATTTTTGGCACATTCGGTTTGTTTCTTCTACTTCTCCAGTCCTCAACAAACAAAACATGAGATTACGAATCATCAAAGACACATTCTTCCACACCACAAATACAAATTCTAAGTCAATTATTGATAAATAAACCCACAAAAAGACAAGAAAATGTATAATGAATCTCAAGCTTGACTTAAGGCATGATAACAACATATAAAGATAGTGACTGTACCTCAATCATGAACCTTACAGTAACTAAATGACTGCCAAACTCAGTCATATAAAATCTAAACTTTCATATTTAGTTTAACAATTCATAAATCAATCAATCTCTCAAAAAATTACACACTCCTTTTTAAAGTTACCACGTCAAATTTTTATGCCATTCTCAATATTTTTTTATCAATAACTCCAGGAATATTAACAAAACATCAGCTCAAAAACAGAAAGAACAAGTGCGGCCAGAATACACTGTTTTGGCGATAAATCTTACTCATCTCCGAAACAAAATTAGTCAGTAATAATAGCCTAAAACTACACTGAACATGAAAAACCTTTAAACTTATAAAGCTCACATACTCCTTGTTCAGTGGATAGTCGATAACAATCCCAGTTGGCGACCGAGTCACCTTCATGTTTAATGGAACCAAAAAAAAAAAAAAGTCACCTATATAAAGTAATGCCGGTATCTACAATTTTAAACACATGGCATACCATATGATGTGATGATTCCTCTTTTTTTTTCATGCTATCTAAGCTCAATTAAATATCTCCTCTCAGTCCACCAAATAACCTCTAATAGATAAATGCACATTTTGGTGCAACACTACCTACACGAGCAAGTCTTCACATTTAAGTAACTATGCATCGTATGAATCACCCCGTCATCTTCTATACTCGACATCACATTAAGTTTCTATCTTAGCAAAAGACCCAACTAATCTAAAATCCCATCACTTGCCAACATTTATAGTTGCTGATCACTAGATCACCTCATGTTGTGTTTTTTTTTTTTTTGGCCTTATGTTCTTCCACAAACAGAATCACATAAAATAAGACAGCATTGAACTCTTCTACACAAACAGCTGAGTGCATATGCACCAATTTCCTTGCACTACGCCAAATATTTCCCAAATGCTGTCCTCTAATTTGAACCCGTTATATTTACCAATTTCCGATCTTTTTAGCATCTTTATTGTCACATTTAAACAATAACAATGCCACATTCCCATTACAAGCACCCACAGTCCTTATAAATTCACATCAAACAAAAGAACCCCAACTGCATTTTTCCACTTCCCAAACACAGCCCTTCAAATCAGATAAAAGAAAACGAGCTACCTGAGTGCCCCACTGGCCTTTTACGCAAGCGTCGGCGGATATCTTACCCTCGCGTCCGTACATCAGCAGCTTCAGACCCTCGATCTCGTCCTCATCGTACACGTAGATCTTCAAATTCAGGTGGATCCCATACAACCCGAAGCGAACGACGTCGTCCGGATGGCTGCTCCGGTCCGATTCGGAAAACGAATCGCGGTGGGATGATGGACAGGGGCCGAGGGAGCGGTCGGAGAGCCTGGTGAGGAAGAAAGTGACAGCAACCAGTACAAGGGCGGCGATCTGGTGTGTGCGGGTGCAGGTGGAGTGGTGGGGGGACTGCGAAGAGGAGAATCTGGAGCTTTTGCTGGCGGAGTTTATGCCCGCCATTGATGAGTTGAGTTGGACTTGGAGCTCGACTGTAATGAGATTTTACGACGGAACAGTTTTCTTTTACCTCTCGTTACAAGAGAGAAGAAGAGAAAATTAAATATAAGAGACTATTAAATGGTTAATTATTTGATAATTCATTTATAATTAAATGATTAATTATTTCTGACTATTAATATGATTAATGTTTTAATAAGCACAGAAAATGCCACTCACTATTTATTTTGTAGTTTCTTGTTTTCTTTTTTACAGTTTATATTTTCCAATAGTATGATATCTCAAATCATTGGAACTTTATAATCTACCAGCAGAAATCCATGTTGAAAGCAATAAAAGGATTAATATTTCTATACTATTCACTGATGTCAATAGATAAAAAGAACATTTGATGAGATGCCTGCATTTTTTTTCTATTCATATTTGAACTTCAACAATTAAGAAAATAATAATACATTCAATAACAACATTAAGTGATATATAACAAAAACAATAATAGTTTCATAATTATTGTATTTCATAGAGAAAAGAAATGTCATTTTATTGAAAATTGAACACAAATGTTGAAGCAATTGTCTCTCTTAAGTAAACCAGTAAATCATCAATACTAAAACAAAATAAATAAAGAATAATCAATTCTCAACATAAGTGTTGAAAAAAAAAAAAACTCTCCAAATAAATAGGCAATTCTAAGACAAATGAACATTTTAATAGTCTCATTTTCATGAAGACACAAGCAGTTGTACCTATAGTGTGTGAACCTCCTGCAAATCCTTTTGTCACACATATATATAGATAAATTGGAAATAAATTTATAAAATTTTGGGAAAAATGAAAGTTTTAATCTTATTGAATTGAAGGTACCACTAAGAAGGACAAGTTCTTTGTGTGATGGGCCTTTGTTTCTGAATTTGGAGTTTAGAATGTCAATTGGGTCATCAATATTGGGCATCTCTTTTGCAAGTAATGGGTTGGAAACTGGGCCATCTCTTCTCCCAGTTTCGACCTCGTATGTGGGCCCACCAGCCTGAATTACAGAAGGACCCACAGTTGGAATGATGATGAAAAAGTATGAAAATGATAGAATGAATAATGACAAACTAGTACGTAACCCGTGCGATGCACGAGATATAAAATTTGGAAGAATAATATAACCTCACGTGCATTAGGATCGAAATTGAAATCATTAAAACACATAGGAACATTGTTGAATCATAAAAAGTTCGATAACAATCATATATTATTAAAAATCTCCGTGTACACAACATTATGAGTTTGATTATTTGGTAACTTCTCATTATCACAAACTAATATTTTCAAAAGAGACAAATCCTAAAAATGAAACTAATATTTTTGGTGAACAAACTAATATTTTAGGATTAGTGAACAAACTAATATTTTAGAAGTTCTAGGATTTGTCTCTTTTTGGTGAACAAACTAATATTTTAGGATTGATTATATGAATAAGGCTACCCGTTTTTGGTGTTTCTTTTCATTCAAACAATCTGATGACTTGTATAATGAAATCCGAATCTTAAGCCGAAATATTTAAAAAAAGAGTTTTTAAAAATTGAAAAGTCAAGACAATAAGTTCAGATTAATTAAAGGTCAAAGAATATCCGCTCCTTGAAATAAAGACATATGCTATCATTAACCAAATATCCGGTTATTGATATAGAGTGGTTACCAAAAAATAGAACGCGATAAGGACGCTTCATGAAAATATCAATGGAATTAGGTCATAACAGATCGCTATACATTTTAACGATAAAGCTCATATGGAATGATTTATGATAATTATGTCGTAATTAATGAATTAATTAGATGTATGAAAATAACATAATTAATGAGAAGTGTGAAAAGGACATAATTAATAAGAAGTGTGAAAAGGACAAAAACTTACCAGTTTTGGAAAATATTTAATGCAAATCCAACATTGACCATAATTTGACCTACTATTTTGGATAAATATTAATTCTTATTATATAAGTATAGATGCTCTAGTGAAATTAAGTTAAAAATATTATATTGAAGAAAGTATGTCACTACAAAAAAATTTAAACTTCGATAAAAAAATCCAATGAAGAAAATATTACAACATAAATTGATACGGATAATCCAATGTACGTAGTAATATTTGAAAATCTAGAGAAAGTCTAACACTAAAATATTTCATTGGAGCTACATTTTTTTTAGAATTCTTGTCGGATGATTTCAATATCACTTTTTTCATACGGTCATTAATTGTTACAAGAACTTTTGTCAAGATATTCAATTTCAGTTATAATTATTTTTTTCATCAATCATTCCAACAATTAAATAAATTGCTGTTACAATCTGTCAAAATTCAACAAAAATTCTAATGGAGAACTACATATACCAACAAAAATTTCATTGAATTTCTCAACGGAAGTTATAACATTTGAATATTCATTGAAATTTTTAGTAAGAATTCTGTTTGATTGATGTATTTCCGTTAGAATTTGATGATTTGTGAATAGTGCATGTGCACAAATAATCTAGTGAATGTATATGAAAAAAAAAAAAATGAAACAAAACTTGCTAATCCTATACAAAATAATGACTTGACGATAAAAAATTCGATATAAATAAAAACAATTACTGAGAGAGAGATTTTACTAGAGCTAGAGAATCTCTAGCTGCCATAGCCACTATATCAGCACAAGACACAACTATTGGGCACTCATCTTCTAGCTTTTCTTTAGCTTCACTTATCACCTCAAAACCTATGAGCCCTTGATGTTCATCAGCTGTGTTTTCTCCATTCTCAATCAATATTGAACCATCACAACCCTATACAATTGCATATGCACGTAATCCATCATAAATTTAAAGAACACAAGAAAAAAAATTAAAAGAATAGATACTCACAATTTAAAAAATGGGGGTTTCAAGAATGGAAAATTCTGTTTCGAAAGTACATTCCGTATCTAAACCATTGTCACTAATATTGTAACAATTAACGTTCAGTTGCAAATTTTGGTTAGTAATGCAGCAATCTCTAGTAGTGTTGTCACTCTCTTCATGAACAGAACAAATTAAGACTACAAATTAATAAGTCGAGGCGAAAAAAAATAATATAATGAAGATACAAGTAAACTTGAACCTCAACAAAGCAATCATGAAAATGGAGCCTAATTAGAGCCGGGGGTATTCTTGGGTTTTCGATCGCGGCATTCTTGATAACGGACCTAACAATGGGTTCGGCGTTAGGACACGTTTGGGAGTAGAATCCGACTTTAAGTTGTGCTTCGGATATGCATATACGAAACGCAACAAGTATGAAGAGGAAAGTCTTCATGGTGTGTTTGTTTAGAGGAGAAGATGTAAACTTAATATAAAAAAAAAAAACAAAAAAACAAAAACAATTGTGAAGAAATTTTGGAAATTGGAAGATGAATTAAGTACATTAGGGATTGTAGACTGTGGGACATCTCTTTTAATGCAGGAGTTTTTTGTTACTTTTTGTGAACAAGTTACTATTAAAGGATGTTAGAAACTGAGACGGTCACATTCAATAATAGTATATGTAGTTAAAATACTTAATTCTGTTTTTCTAGCATGAAGAATTTGATGACAGTCTTCAAAGTTCAAACACTAATACATGGATTTTTAAGAAGTCTGTCGAGAAACATTAGCTAATATTTATTTCAAAATATTGGTAGATTTTTTTCCTCATGGATTCTCATGGGGCTAAGTTTCTCAAATTTAAAAATGTCAAATTTTTCGTAGTATGGTCCATCGGGATTGGAGCGCTAAGATCCAACATGTGCATAGGGAGACGAATTTTGCAGCCGATCATATGACTAGCATTTTCTTTTATGCCTTCGGCCTC